TATGACAATACGACACTAACAATATTAAAAGTAATTTTTAAATATCATCACATTCTTTAAAACTTAACTGTTTTCTTGATTATAGTTTTTATTGCAACTAAGAAACTCATTATCTTGACGAAACTTTAGAACATGGCAAAACTTATGGCTACATTTATCTTAAACATTTTAAACTTTTAAATTAAGATCTTTAGGTATTTGTTTTTTTAACATCTTATTAGATTAGATTAAGTTGTTAAAAAATTACTTGATATCTCATGATTTATTGACTAAAAAATCTCAATGTTCAAAGCTTGAGTAACTTCGTTTATGTCTCGTTTGTTTATATAAACAAGACTAATAAAGTACGACATATTTATTTTATTAAATTTATTTTCAGGTGAAATTCAAAAAAAAAATTATATATTTCGGGTAATACCCGAATTACCCAAACCCGACCCGATACCCGAATTACCCAAACCCGAATTATCCGAATTTAGTTTGGGTAGGGTAACGGGTAATTTTTCTAACATGAAAAACCCGAATTACCCGAAACCCGAAAAAATTACCCGTTCAACACCCCTAGACAGAACGACCTTTGGTTCCACTTGAAGAGGAGTCATCAAGAGAATTTCCCTTGGTAACCTTCGAAGGGGTCTTCCTCTTCTTCCCTCTACTTTGCCCGATTGCCAGAACAGGGGCGGTGTTAGGAGTAGAAGTAGAACAACCGATTTACTCTTGAGACCGGTTTCAGCGGTCTTCAAAAGTCCTTGAAGTTTTCTGAGTGTGACCTCCTCCTTGTTCATGTGATAGGTCATTCGGAACTGATCATAAAAAGTAGGAAAGGAGTGCAGTATGATATCAATAGCCAACTCCTTCGGGAAGTTCACATTCAACTTCAGCAGATGGTCCACAAACCTTTGCATTTTCAGCATGTGGCCCATGATGGATTCACCATGCTTCATTGGGAACGTTATCATGGAAGAGATGATTTCATAGCTCTCTTGAAGAGCACTCTGATGGTAGCGGTCCATCAAGTCCATGTGCATCTCAAATGGGTAAAAGTCCTCATAGGACTACTAGAGTTCAGCTGCCATTGTGGCCAACATGATACATGCCACTTTGGTAGCATCTATCTTATGTTCCCTAAAGTCAGTAATCTCCTCTAGAGTAGCAGTTAAGTAATAAATTTCTTTCAGCTCCTTGTCGAGGAAATATTCCTTGTCCTTGTAACGCGTGACCATCCTGATGTTCCTGATCTAATCATTAAAGGTTGAACCATCAAAGATGACTCTCCCACAAAGGTTCATGAGAAAGAAGGAGCCGATCGGGTTTGAGCCAGAAGCAACATTCTTGGAAGACATCTGAAAAGAAGAAATACAAGTTTATATTAGATATAGAATCTTCCAAAACTTGAGGGCAAGTTTTGAAACTATTGAAAACATTTCATATTCATAACTTATGAGTTTAATGGTTTATTAGAATGAAGACTCTTCATTTTATGTAACCTATAGTTCTTTAATGGATCTTTATGTGAAATGACTTTTGGTAATCCATAACTTGAGGAAAAATTGTGGACTTTATTAAAGACATTTAGATCAATAATTAAACTAACAAACAATTTACAAATAATTCCTATGATCTACCAAAACTCATAAGTGTATGAACATTCATATCAACAATTTCAAGAATCATATAAACACACATAAAACTTGAAATTTTGATAATAAACTTTGAAATTGGATTAGCATAATCATTACCACATCAAAAATATGTTTTATAAGTCCAAAACGGTTTAGTATAATGATTCTAGTCCAATTCCATCTTAAAAACTCAAAAAACTGCACTTTAGGCCTCCTACTTGTCGAGTGCACGAACCTACTCGATGAGTAGGATGAATATACGCTTGGACTCGTCGAGTCCCACCATGGACTTGGCGATTCCATTGAGCAGATTGCAGATTTTTTTATTTTCTTCAACAATTTGCATCAAGTATCAAGAAAATAAGCCTAGGCTCTGATACGACTGATGGGTTTTGAGCATACTAACACTCCTATGGTGTATATGCAACCTTAGAAACCTTGAATCTATGTTTTCTCTAATATTCATGCAAATTTGATTTTCCAAGGTTTTCATCCTAGCTAGCATGGCATGGGGTACTTGTAATATAAAAAAACTAGTAGAATGACATACCTTTCTTGTAGCTTGGATTCCTTAAGACTTTATGAGTCTGGCACCCAAAATGTGATGCCTCAAATGTTTCACACAACACCACAACTCTTGGAATAACTTGAGAGAAGATCACTTGAGCCCAAAAATCGGCTCGCCCTCACCTTAGTGTCTTAGTCACGATTTTGCTAGCTACGAGGCTCTTTATATAGTGTGCCACATGTAGGGTTACACCACGTAAACCCTAATGTGCATGGCTTTTCATTTCCCCCATGATCCATGGGTTTTAACCTCCATGGAGCATCCATGGAGCACCCAATAGGTCCTAGCCCAATCCAGTGAATCATGAACCATAAGCCCACCATACAAGAATGACTGATTTACAAATCAATCCCCATATATTTAATTAGTCACTTTTTTATCTCAAAATTAATTCCAAATTAATTCTTGATCAATATTAATTAAATATATTATTAATATATTAGAACTCATAATATATTAACAAACTGTAAGTGTCCTTTTCTCATTTTGTCTATCCAATTGTTGTAATGCCATGCAACCCAAATAGGCCATGCCAAATTGGGTCAAGTACATACTAAATATAGTTATGGACTTAGAAACCTTATCCAACAAGGTCTTGGGAGGTTAGCTTCCAAGCCGACGTGTAGGTATTCAGACGAGAGCCTACAAAAAGGGGGATAGTTGTGGTCTCATCAAAAGAAGTTGAAGCAAGACCATGAGAAGGCGAAGATCCAGCCTTCGCCTCGGCTCCTTCAGTAGTGGCGATGGACTTGGCCCTATCAGTGTTTCCCTTTACAATATGACCGGACCGTTCAGTTGCTTTATTGGATTCCTCCTCCAGCAGTTTCGAAGGACCCTCATCGGGGGCATGGGTGGAGCTCCTGGAACCCTCAAGCAGGAAACTCAGATTGCGTTTCTTGCGAATGGGGGGCGGGGAGGGGGGGGGGTCAAATCCAACAGTCTTGGCAAGACTGCCAATAGAAGGTTCCAAAACAACGAAGCGCCTCTTGACACGTCGAAGAATTCTTGGAGACCCAAAAGGGGTGGGATCCTTCTGGGAAGCACCGACGACAACGATATCTTGAAAATCTGACTCATCGTCACCACCAGCACCACCACCAACGGCATTGCCTGCACCAGTGGGAGACTCATGTGATACCTCGATTCATTGACCAGAAACAGGAGGTGGCAGCGCTTCTACAAGGTCGATTTCGCGACATTGAATTTCGCCCTCAAATAGGCCCTGAAGAGCCCTTTCTAAGGATATAATTTCCTCCTCACCTGGAAACAAATCGAAAACAACAACGGTTAGCCAAAAACCCTGACTTCATCACGTTTTCCCTAAAAAAGGGGGGAAGAGAATGGAAAAAGAGTGTCATACCTTCCTTCGCGACAAATAACTCAGACATCTTCCCACGAGCCCTCTAAGTGGTGCTCATTCCACCGGCAGCCAAAAAGCAATCAAGCCAGTCCTCGTCGTTGATGTTGATCTTCTCCAAGTCGTCAGTCAGCTCCTTGTCAGCACCGAAAAGCGTGGGAGCACGGTCCACATACGCCTTAACCATCGGGTAGCCAAGTACCACAAGATCTTTATTCACCCACAAGAACTTTTCTTGCCGATTATTCTTGGAGTTTTGGTCATAAATAAGGGTAGGGATCCCCACCGGCGAGAAAGGGTTCGGGTACCAGACTGGGTGGAAGTATTGTAGAAGTGCTTGAATGCCAGAAGAGTTGGTTGACGACCTAGAGCGCGACAGAGGAGCTCGAAACCTACCATCTTGTTTATAGCAATGGGAATCAAATCCCTCACTGAAAACCCATATTAAAGGATGATCAGATTAAAGAAGTCAGTGGTAGGAAAACAAAGACCTGCCTTGAACAAGGCGATTGGAATCCCGAGTTTGCCCTACGGCGGACTGTAAAGTGACGCGTCGGAAAGAGGAATTTGTATGATGTGTTCGTGAACAAACCCAAATCGAAATTGAAAAGACTCCCACTCTTCAGCAGTGAGATTTCTCCCTAGAGAACGAGAGGAAGCCATGAAAGAGTTCGAAGGAAAAGACGAAAAAGTTTCTTTTGAATAAGATCTTAAAGAAAGAAAGATAGAAGGTGACGTGTATGTATCGGGATAGGCAGAGACTTAAATAAAAAAAAGTGGAAGTGAATAGTTTCCATGATAAGACTGCCAAAGAGGTTCGATTTTGCCCTGACAACCGCATAGGCCTTCAATAAAAGTTTGCCACGTTCCTCGGAATAGACCAGAACAACGTCGCTATGTCACAAACGCAGATGCTTATTATTCTAAGGGACTTGTTAACGTTACCCTGTACGGTCACATTAAACTTAACGGAAGGCCTAGATGGAGCGTTAACATGCTAGTACCTTGGCTGAGACTCCATCACAAGGAAAGAACATTCCACGTGATCTCCCCGTTCATTTATAGCCAACCAGAAGGCAAAAAATAGCTCGGGTGACGCCCATAAATGACATCACCTGGCAGTTAGTTAGAGCGGGAAAATCTCCCAGTAAGAGGAGGCCCCGTCTCACACTAATCGGTAGAGCTCCCCATGATCCGTTAGAGGAAGGTATAAAAGGATCTTTTCCGCCGCAAGGAAGGGATCCCATCTTCTGTCTCAAAAATATTACCCTAAAATTACCAATCTCATAAATCTAACTTGATCGTCGGAGCGGCGTCTCGGGAGAACACCTGGATGTCCTTTAACGATTCTTCTCTGTGTTGTGTTCTCAAGAAAGCTCTCAAGGTAGATCCATTGTCTGACATCTAAACCCCGTGTAACATGTCACAACACACTCAGTCCTATAAAACCCACTCAACAATACCAAGCACCAGAAATGACGAACAAAGGATCGCAACGGCAAGAAAGAGACTCCACTACCCCGGTTCGACCAATGCAGTCCATCAACAGAAACGGACCATCGATACTGGAAGGACAACCGCTAGCACAATCACCGACAACGCAACCAATCGACTCTGCGGCGGAGTTCATCGTTAGTTTCTGGCGACCGAAACCCATCGCAATTGCGCATTCGGTCACAACGACTGCCACGGTGCCCCAAAGGGAACCGACCACACAATCACAGCAAGTAACTTGCCAAAATCCATCCACGTGACAGGTAGGGACCAGTACGTGGTGCCTGAACATCATCCCATCCGCTATACAACTAATGTCTTCAGGTCACCTGTCTTCCCCGATGGCTGTCATGTTGCACGTCTCGCTATTTGCACAACAACTAGTGTTCAACCCCTACTCCTACTACTACCAAGGCATGTGCCCTGCCGCCTCCCCCCCACCAGTGAAGGGGACGCACTCACACACCATGGGACCAACAGAATCGATCTCACAATCAAATCAACTAGTGCATGCGTACCCCACACAGTCAGTGTATGTGCCACAAACGCCAGGATACAACCACGGGTACCATTGCGAATATGGTCAAGGGTACGCCAGCCCTTATCACATGCAACATGCAATGGATCGTGGAGCACATGCACATCCACACATGCACGACCCAGTATCAAGCATTAGCTTGACATTTTGAGAGGAGCTCCTACAATACGAAATAACACATTCTGCAAATCTGCCATGATCCCAAATATCCCAAAATATAACGACACGATCGATCCCGACAAACACAACAACACTTATGAATGGACGATGACATCGCTACGGATGGACAAGAGGTTCACCTGCACCTACTTCCCGGTCACACTGTCACGAAACGCCAGCAAGTGGTTCAAGGCGTTACGACCGGGAAGCATCTCTAGCATTGAAAAATTGAGACATCTATTCCTCCACAATTTCAGACCACCATGAAGGTCAATTTTCCAAAACTATGTACTACTATAAAACATTATCAATAAAATGTTTTGTATTTTATTTCATTTGGTATTCATATTAAGTTCAAATTGTTATGCAATTGTTTACTTAGTATAGTAATTATTTTTTTATTGAAATGTTTACAAGTTACAATAAAGGCAAGTCATAACAAACATATAGTTGAGACATTCTATTTCGATAAATACCCGATTTATAACTATTATCAAGGACTTACCATCATTCTATCGCTAATCCCTATGGCAGAAGAATGCCTCCATGTAAAAGTAACCGACGTGTCTGCTGAACTCCACCAGTTCCACCGACACCAACTCCACAGGTGGACCCCGTTATGTTCCAAGCCGTTGTGACCGTCGCGGTGGAAATCGCCATGGCACAAATTAGTGCTAATGGCACAAACGGAAATGAAAATAGAAAAGGAAACAGAAACAAGAATGGTGCCAACAGTGCCAATCATGGCGAAAGCCAAGGACACCAACGAGTATGCTCCTACAAGGATTTTATGAAATGCAACCCCTAGACTTTTCATGGTGACAACGGTGTCATCACCTTAATGAGATGGTTTGAGAAAACCAAAACCGTGTTTGAAGTCTGTTCATGCCCAGATGAATGTAAAGTCAAGTACGCAACTTGTACTTTCACTGACTCGGCCTTATCCTGGTGGAATGGTCATGTTAAAACCCTAACTCTCGCTTTGGCCAACTCTATGAGTTGGGAAGATCTGAAGGTCATGATATTGGAGGAGTACTGCTAAAGAGGCGAAATTCAAAAATTAGAGAAAGAGCTTTGGAACCATACAATGACAGGCTCTGATGTGACCGCCTATACTACCAGGTTTGACGACTTGGCAGTTATGTGCCCTGGGATGGTCACCCCGGAAGCCAAGAATGTGGAACACTACATTTGGTGACTATCCCCCATATTCAAGGAAGTGTTGTGTCTACTAACCCAACCATCTACGATAGTGCCAAACGTTTGGCATAAAGTCTTGTCGGCCACGGAGTCCACCAGGGCTCTATGACACCCACACCTGATCAACCAAAAAGGGAGATAATAAGCGAAAGTTCTGGAATAAGAAAAAGGGCCAACCGACTCAAGAGCCTATCAAAAGACAAGAAACTATGGCAGTCCATTCCACCACTATCCCAACTGCCTCCAACACCGATTAAACAATATGATGGGAATCTGCCTAAATGCAACAAGTGCAACTTCCATCACAATGAAGATTGCCGGGAGATGCACTACAACAACTGTAATAGGAAGGGACATACCGCTCATTTCTGTAAGGTTGCAGCTTAACAGACCACCCAATCCACTAATACTGGAGTGAGTCAGGTGTGTTACGGATGTGGGGAGACAAGGCATTTCAAAAAGGGACTGCCCAAAGGCAAAGAACAAGAATGTCGGAGGCGTGGGAAGGGTCTTGACAATTAAGCATGAGGAAACAATGAAGGATCACGTTGTGGTTACCGGTACGTTTCTCCTCAATAACTCATATGCATGCATACTTTTCGATAGCGAAGTTTCGTGAGCCACAATTTTAAACACATACTCAAACAAAAACCTCAATTACTCAATGAAATATTCACAGTAGAAATGGAAAATAGAAAAACTAAAAGCACCAAAGACATATACATAGTATGCACCCTAACCATAAACAACCACTCCTTCCAAATCGACCTAATGCTTGTTACAATAGGAAGCTTTCATGGGATCATTGGCATGGATTGGTAAAGCCCCCACCGTTCCGATATCATGTGTTATGAAAGGGCTATCCGACTTAACTTACCAAATAATGAAAAACCTTGTCATCTATGGTGACCAACCCAACACAAACCTCCGAACCATCTCTTGCATTAAGGCTCAAAAGTACATGCGCAAGAAGTACCATGCATTCCTAGCCCACGTTGTTGATGAGAAGAGAGAAGTGAAGGACATCATGGATATTCCAGAAGTCTGCAATTTTCTCAACGTATTCCCAAAAGACCTCCTGGGTGTACCACCCGTGCGACAAGTCAAGTTCAGATTTGACTTGATTTCTGGAGCCACCCCTATAGCCAAATCACCTTATCAATTACCCCCGGTAGAAATCCAGGAATTGTCCAGTCAGCTGAACGAACTGTTGAGTAAAGAATTCATCAGACCAAGCTTCTCACCTTGGGGAGCACCAATCTTGTTCGTAAATAAGAAAGACGGATCATTATGTATGTGCATTAACTATCGGGAGTTGAACAACTCACCATCAAGAACCGATATCCCTTAACCCCGAATTGACGATCTGTTCGACCAACTCCATGGATAGAGCTACTTCTCTAAAATCAATCTAAGGTCGGGATATCATCAACTTAGAGTCCAGTCGGAAGATATTCCTAAGACGGCATTTAGGACTCGTTACGACCGCTCCGAGTTCACTGTGATGCCCTTCGGATTGACTAATGCACCCGCGGTGTTCATGGATCTAATGAACCGTGTATGCCGACCTTACCTAGATAAATTCGGGATAATGTTTATCGATTACATACTAATCTATTCACAAAGTGAGGAAGAGTATAGTCAATACATGCGACAAGTCTTGGAGACACTAAGGGAAGAGAATCTGTATGCAAAAGTTTTCAAAATGTGAATTATGGATTCGAAAGGTGGACTTCTTAGGACACGTGGTCATCAAGTAAGGGATACATGTGGATCCCTCTAAAATCAAAGCAATTAAAAACTGGGAAGTGCCAAGGACACCGGCGAAAATCTGCTAGTTTTTGGGCCTTTCTGGCTACTACCGAAGGTTCATACATAACTTTTCCGAAATCGCAAAGCCACTTACTACGCTGACCCAGAAATGAGTGACCTTCAACTTGGAGGATAAACAAGAAATAGCCTTCCAGATGCTAAAGCAAGCTTTATGCAGTGTTCTGATCTTGTATCTTCTAGAAGGAACGGAAGACTTTATGGTCTACTGCAATGCATCAAAGCAGGGTCTAGGTTGTGTACTCATGCAACGGGGAAAGGTCATTGCCTATGCCTCAAGACAACTTAATACTTATGAGGTCAACTACACCACACACGACCTTGAATTAGGGGCAGTAGTGTTTGCCTCAAAGATCACTACCTTTACGATACAAAGTGTACGGTCTTCACTAACCATAACAGCCTCCAGGACATCCTCAATCAAAAGGAGCTCAATATGAGGCAACGACGATTGGTAGATTTACTATAACGAATGCCAAATTCGTTATCATCCTGGCAAGGAAAAAGTAGTAGTAGATGCCCTCGAAAGGAGTACGCAGGCCGCCGAGTAAAATCATTGACAATGAATATCCATTCACATCTGTCTACCCGGATCAAGGAGGTGCAACTTGAAGCCTTGAAACCTGAGAATATCGCAAGTGAAGCCTTTCGAGGAATGGATAATACCCTTGAGGTCAAGGGTGACGGAGCTTGTTATCTCATGAATCGAATCTGGACACCGAGGCTTAGCAGGTACATAGACATTATCATGAACGAAGCTCACAAGACCAAATACTACGTTCATCCCGGGTTAGACAAGATGTATCTAGACCTCATGAAACTATATTAGTGGCCAAACATGAAGGCAGAAATCGCTACTTATGTGGGCAAGTGTTTAACTTGCGCCAAGGTCAAGTAGAATCCTAAAAGCCCTCGGGTTTGCTATAACAACCAGATATACCCGAGTGGAAGTGGGAGCAGATAACCATTTACTTCATAACTAAATTTCCAAGACAACTGGTGAACTTGACACCATATGGTTAATTGTCGAAAGGTTGACCAAATCCGCGCACTTCCTACCAATAAAGGAGACAAACAAAATGGAAAAACTAACAAGTAAGTACATCAAGGAGATTCTACGATTACATGGTATGCCGAGATCCATTATCTCTGGCAGAGATAGCAGGTTTACCTCACGGTTTTGGCAATCATTACAAAAGTCCTTGGGAACCAGACTCGACGTGAGTACAACCTACCACCCACAAACCGACGGGTAAAGCGAGAGAACTATTCAAACGCTGGAAGACATGTTGAGAGCTTGTGTGATAGACTTCGGTAAAGCTTGGGATACCTACTTACCACTTATCGAGTTCTCATACAACAATAATTATAACTCTAGCATTAAAGTTTCTCCATTTGAAGCCCTCTATGGGCGAAAGTGTAGATCACCTCTGTGCTGGGTTGAGGTGGTGACACACAGCTAGCTAGAGTACAAGTTCCTGACAACACTCTTACCGGCCCTGAGATTATACGGGAAATGAAAAAGAATATTGTTTAGATCTGTGAACAACTAAAAGCATCTCGGGACC